TAAATGGAATATTATGACAATTTGTTAAATGAGACAAGACGCAATAAATCAAAAAAAAAGGAAAAGAAAGAAAAGAAAATATAATTTTACACCTCTATTATTGCGTCGAAAGAAAAAAATATCATAAATAATAACATTAGATAAGATTATTTTCCCTTTTTTGCTTTGTTTTCTTTTATTTTTATACTTACAAATTAACTATTTGTGGATTAGTAGAAATTTGTTGTACATAATCATTTAAACCACGTTGACGTTTTAATACAAAATCAGGTTCAAATGAATCACCTAATAAACGTCGTCCGGGTAATTTTAAATCAGAACGAACACGACGAAGCTAAAGAAAACGAATATATATATATATATATTTTTCCTTAATAGATAAATAATTTCGAATATTCACTTTATCATTTAATGTATGAAATTCTTTATAACGTCTCCAAATGTCCCATTCTTGTCCATTATAATTAACAGATACTTTGTATTTTGTAAATTTTCGTCCATTTTCAGCACTTGTTTGTGCATCAACAACATGAATGGTTAATGATCCTTTTATACCACCATTTGTATTATTTGCTGTCGAAGTATTCATTTTTTCTTTAAATATTAGACAAAAAGAAAAACGAAACAATATTCAGATAAAGTAACAAATAAAAGAAGAAAAAAAGAAGAAAATAAACTATGATTATATCATGATCAACACTATTTGACAATGACAATAATGATGATAGTGATGATAAGGCAAAGGCAAAAACAAAAGACGTAAAAGGAGAGCGCGGGAGAGAGAAGAAAAGCACTAAACATAGTAAATATTGACTGATACGAGAAAGATTAGACATACTAAGATGAAAGTGACAAATTTAAGAAGAATACGATTGTTGAGAATTCTTCTCGCGTTATCTTGTCTAATTCAATAGTAAATAAGGAAATCTGTCAAAGAATATTGCATGTTTCTATTTGAATATAAGTAGAAGTAGAAATAATTGCACTTTATACTAACAGTAATCGTGCGAAAACATCGTCTCACTATGTTGACAAGGTCGTGTCTTCTGCTTCTTTTTCTTCTTCTTCTTTTTTTTTTCAACATAACACCGCGCACTCCAAACACAAATACACATGCGTACAGAATGTAAAAGGACAATGACACGTGTATTTTCATTCTTTCTTCTTTACTAGTCAGCCAGCCAGCAAAACTCAGCGAGTGCTCTTCCCTTATTCTTCGTTCTACATATATTCTGCATCTCACACTCTCTATTCCTTTATATTTTCGCATCTCCTCTTC